GGTCGCCGAGGCAAACGCGTCACACAGTGCTTCCCACGCCCCCGATCCTGTGTCAGAGTCTCAGCTTCGGCAGAAGACAATCAGCGTCGACAGAAGACTCCTTCATGACACTTGCCACAGGGTAGTCTTGGCCGTCCCAGAGGTCTTCTGCCAATAGCTTGGGCTACTAATGGTTGCTTCGCCTTCCTTGCTGGAAGGCATGTCTTTGCAAAATGTGTCCAAAGCATCGTTTTCGTGCTGAAGACACTTAGGAGGAACGAACGTGTAATAGTCTCATTTCACGGCAGTCACCTAGATCCATATAAACAGCCTCCTTTAGACACCGGAAGTAGAACAACTACAGACAAGTCACTTAAAGTTTCCGTTTTCTGAAATGCGAATGCAAACTTCGCTGTTTGTTTCAGACTCGCTCTGATCATCTTCGATCAATTTCAGAAAATGTGCAGTTGTTTAGCTGGCTTAATGCTTCATCTGACAAACGTTCGTCGTGGCAAGATTTCGCATACAATTTTTGCTTCATAATCACCGAATAAGTTAACATATCATATGAGGTTACAAGAGAAGGGAACGGCAAATGGAACAAACAGTCAGAATTGTAGAAACAGCCGACTGACGGCTGAAGAAATGAGTAACCAAGTTAGCCACCTGTCACGCCTTGTCATGAGAAATCGAAAGGAGAAAAGACTGAGTTGCGGCGTAGCGCTACGGCGTAGCGTCTGGCAGACGAACGATGACCACTTTCATCGAATAAGCAAATGGTGAAATAAGCCTGAACAGTAGACACGCCTGCCTGCTTGATGACTGAATGAGTGAGTGAATGGATGAGGACGCATGTACGACGATTACCTGCGCTTCTCTCTGGCCAACCGCTGCTGCTGAGCTACGTCCGGCTCCGGCTCAGGTTCCGGTTGCTTTTGCTGCGCCTGGTCCGACGACAACTTCTGCGACATATCACCGCCGCCAGTGCCGGTGGTACTCGGGCAGGACACGTCGGCCAATGTCGGGGTTGAGATGGCGGTTGCGGTTGTGGTCACTGTCGCAGGAGGTTGCTGTTTCAGGGCATCGGTGCCGCCGGAGCCAACCGTGGTTGTGGCCGTAGCGGCTGCTGTGGTTGCGGAGTAGATCGACGACGGGTCAGTAGTCTCGTTCGGGTCCTAGAAACGAAGGCAGCTAGCTTTCAACAGTACGACAGACCGATGGCCGAGCGGCGGACGGATGGAGGACGGAAGGACGAAAGCGGAGCAACGGCGGCGACGACCAGTCGACGAAAGACGCTGAACGCGTTGAGTCAAGTCAAGTCGAGTCGAGTGAAAAGCAGAAATGACAGATGAAACGAAAGAGGAAATGAAATAAAACGAAAGTAAATGAATTGAATACGATTTCGCTCGATTCAGCTCGACTCGGCCTCCCCTTCATTCTCGTTCCTCTTCCGGTCGTCTGTGCCTCAACGTACATCGTCCCGTCTCGTCTGACACGGCGTCGCGTCGCGTCGCGTCGCCTCCTCCTCCTCCTCCTCTTCATCCTCCTGTTTCTGCATTCGCCTCACCACCTCCGGCTAGAACCTACTCACCAATCGAAGACGAACCAATCGTTCAATTTCTTCAGCCATTTCTTCGATAGCCGTATCGACAACTGGCGCGATCGGAGAAACCTGCTAGAAAGCGACGAGGGTAAAAATCGCCGAATGGCAGAACGGACGGAAGACGGCACGAACGCTGTTTAACATTACATAACAATTGCAGCACATCCACACTCGCCACAACGGCACGACTGCGAAACAGGAAGAGGCGAGCGACGGCGACATCAAAGACGCGACGACATGATGAGGATACACAAACACAAACAACGCTATTCGATGTTCCATCGACAACGAACAAAAATTGATCCGCGTCACCCGTCGATCGATCTTTCCGAAATCTTGGCCTGCTTACCTGGTTCAGAGAGAAGCTTAATCTACCATTTTAATAAACACGCCATCTGATCGATCTTAAACTGGAAGATCATTAGTTTTTTCGAAGGGCAAAACGAAATGCCCGGATCGACCAGGATAAACAGCGCAGAACCAAACCTTCGCCCATTATCTCCACTGCATGTCATTCGTTTCGCATGACCTTTAGGACTTTGGTCTGCAAGTCAAATGGCAGAAAACACGGACAGAACATAACTTAACATAAGCTACCCTCAAGTGGCTGGTTTTCATATTTAAGTCTCGGGCAAAAATTTTATGTCATTTAATAACTATGCATTTTATCAGAAGAAACCAAAAGGTGGAAGATTACCTCTTCTGTAATTAATGAAAACAGACAAAGTTTGCGGATGAGGCACCATCTCTGTTCAGACTACACCCAACGCCGTCTAACTCTAGAACTTCCCCTGTCACATGACTTTCAGCAACTCCGGTCTGCAAACTTCATAACAGAAAAAGAAAGGCAAACAAGACCTCAGAAGCGGCTTCGGATGGCATTGGCATCTCAGCCTTGAACGACAATTCACTGATAGACTTCATAAATCTGCAAGTCGTATGTACAATGTCACAAGAAACCAAGAGCTACAGGATTCTGTGTGGTGTATTTTCAAATCAGAAACAGAGTCTGCGGACGGGGCACGACTGATGTATGAACATCGCGCTGGTGATGGAATCAGCAACTACCTACCGATCTAGCGGCTAACTAGAAACAACGATCTTCCTTAACTAAATCCTTACGGGCTCTTCCGTAGGTCGCCGTCGCCGCCTTTAAAAAAATTAAACACGTTACAACACGTACACGAAGAACATATGCCACACACAATAATAAAAGTACCATGTCAACGTTACTGAAAACATAACCTTACAACAAAATTCTTAGTGGTTTTATTTTTAATAACTCTGAAATTTGGCCTTTCCTCAAAATGCAAAATTTAATTAATCGAAATAATTTGTATTAAAATTAATGCATAACCATCAACAGTTACATTACACTGACTATGTAGTAGATGTTCGTTTTCCAAGGGGAATTACGCACTGGTTGGTTATTATACAACTTTCAAACATTAATTATTCTATTCAAATATATTTTATCTTTAGATAAGTCACAAACGGGAAGACGACGCATAAAATAGTCTTTAATTAGGGACAAGTGACGTTTCGGACCACGCTCGGTCCGAAACGTCACATGTCCCCAATTAAAGACTATTTTATGCGTTGTCTTTCCGTCTGTGACTTACCTAAAGATCTTATCAC